GCAGGATACTGAACTATTAAAATCAAAATAATCATAATTTTTATGACCCTTTAGGAGAGACAGAGTCTCAGATCTTTGATCTATCACTCTTTTGGGCTTGCTATACTTCAAAGATAAATAAGGAAACTGCTTTAGCACTTTATTAATAATGAACTTTCATTTCTCTTCTGGATCATTGGGTAAAATAGAGATTGAAGGTTGAGATTTATTATCAGAGGCAGACACAAGATGGCTAGATATAGATATACTTACTTTAGCTTCCGGTAATTTTGAGAAAGCAGAGTTTTGAGCCTTTGTCTCAACTTAATTATTTTCTTGGGTTGATTCAGAGTCAGAAGAATCAGAAATTTGAGATTCAGTAGGTATGTTTATCTCAGTATTCGATGGAGATTTGTTATCCTCACTTATAGTATCTTCCTGATTTTGACAGGAAGCTCTGGATGAATTTTCAGGAGTTGAGGATTCATCTTCCTGCTTGGAGAAACTATCTATGATTTCTTTAATTTTATCATTAGTTAACTTCAAGATAGAATTAGCACTATAAGTTATGATATACTTGATCTTATCTATATCTAAGTTTTCAAATAATTTGTATATTTTTACAACTTTCTGAGTTTTCCCTTGTAAGTATTTACGTAAAATTTCTGGAAGTTGCAAACCTGTATCTTCAGATCTCTTTTTATAGAGAATGGAAAGGTCTTCTAACATTTTATCATAAATAATTCCTTTTATTTTTTTCTCACCAACTTTACGATTTTTTATAGTTTCATTAACCTGAGTTATAAATTCTTTTCCATAATAACACCAGCATAAAATTTCTTCCTGATTCACATGAATTGCACCATATTCAGCATCAGTTATTCTATTAAATAATTAAGCTAAAGTAAGCAATGGTACTGTAGAAGAAATTTGACTCCGTTGTAATAAAATATCATTAGAAGAACTGAGAGTAGATCTATATGTGTCATTTTGAATATCATCAGATATCATTTGAGAAATACTTTCTGCCCCTTTTTTCCTATGACTATTTTTTGACAGGGGTGTCCCAGCTGAAATTTTAGTTATGCAATTTTGTAAACTATCAGATAATGGAGTTAAGGATGCCTCTTGTTCTTGAAGCTTCTTTTCCTTATCTTCTAATGATTTAATCTCTGTGCAAGTAAGTGGTGTGGAATTTTTGTATGAACCAGTCTCCAGTTGAGATGAAGACTTCTGATGTATATCAGAATTTGAAGTGATATCAGATATATCAAATATCAAAATATCCTCAGTTTGTATATCTATCTATTTGGGGGTATCATTAGAATTTTTCAATTTGATTATATTAGAGTTACTCTTTTCTTCATTATTTTGAGATTGGTTTTGTTCCAATTTAGCAACTCTAGCTTTAAGTTTGGCATTTTCTGAAGCAGTATCTTTATCATTCTGCTTCAGTTTTATAAATCTGGATTCATACTCTTCTAAAGATTGTTTTAATTTTATATTCTCAGCTTTAAGTTTGATGTTCTTAGCTATAACATTATCATTCTTCTTCCTAAGTTTATCAATATTGGATAAAAGTCTAGAATTTAGTTCTCTCAATGATTCCATTTTTTATAAAATGAAAATATATTTAATTAATACAAAAAATAATCACGATTACATGCAAAAATCTTTATTTAACAAGTGATTATCTGATATATTTATATTTTAAAACTGCTAATTATTTTTGCTATATAAGAATCAAACTATATCCTATCAGGTAATAGATTCTCAGCCTTCAATTTGTGACATGCTCACCTTAGATCTAAGAAAAATAACTCATTATTAATCTATTTTTTAACTTATATAGTTAATTACAGAATAACTTACCAATATGTCCTCTTTTACAATCAGTAAATGATAGCGGAACTCAAATCTGATTGGCTTTCGGCTTTTCAAGTTTGATTATGCAGTTTAATCTATTTGCATTATTCAAGTCTTGTTGAGGAATTGTAGGAATAATTGATCTATTCACATCCTGCTCAATTCCATTCTCAAGATCACTATAGACTGAAGAAAAATTATGTATATTATGGAAGAAGATACTGTAGATGAAATATATGACACTGTATCAAATATCACTCATAATTAGAAGATTAACAAGTAACAAGAAACGTGATGAGAATATCACAAGCTGTCCTGGCCTTAGCGGAATTATGATCTGAAACTGTGGAAAACAAAGTTTACCTCTCTCGAAATCACCCAATATGACCAAGCAACATAAGGAATTTGGTTCATCATTCTCATCCCAGTGATAATTACTAATCGTGTTAAAATTAATTGCGATCATGAGAAAAATATTGAACGGTTGAGGTCCAAACGGCCCCCATTTTAATTTGGATAGTTTCTCATATAACTTCGCATAATTACATTAAATAAAATCATTGACATAATCTGATAATAGTTTTAAAGAGTGAAGGAGATCATTAACATATTCGTGATGGTTAGTATTATGGGAGCTTGCGGTATTTGAGCTGGTGAAAGGAAGAAGATTATTTCATGTATATACTCTAAAGTGTTCAATGAAGTTTGTCTAAAATTCATTGCTACGATATGATGGGTTATTTAGTATATGAAGATAGTAGTGATTGACAGTATTTATAGCTTCTGTGATCACAGATAGATTATCTAACTTTTCAAGATGTAATAAGATTCTATTTCCACTATCAATGACATACTCTGGTTCTACTATATATCAAAATCGTACAAGTCTTTTCAGTAATCAAAAATCATTACGTGCTGATATAATTAATTGCATTCTCCTTTTTTGATTGATATTTGTGATTGAAAAATTTACGTTATTTTGCAAGTCTAGGGCATGTCTAAGTTTTCTCTACTTATGTTTAAGATATCATCACATCTCTCTTCGCTTTATTAGCTCTTTGAAACCTAATCATCATCTAAAAGCAACTCACAAGCGATTGTTATTATCACTGATGGATGGTAAATCTACATCTATTTCATCCACCTTGCTAATTATATCTATATTAATCAATATGAGAAAGTTTAAAGAAATCTTGAATAAATTGGAATTATCATTATTAATTTTTGCCTCTCAGATTAAGGTTTTGACAAGTAAATCTTGAGTGGAAACATCTTGTCGAGTCTTGTTTTTTTTAGATGATACACAATCTTCGAAATTGATAGGAATACTCGTCCATTCTCTTTCAAGATAATAGACTTTATCATGCGTGCATAATTCTCTGGTTCTGTGTTGGGTTCGGTGCTAGTATTACTGATAAAAAATGTTAATGATATTCAAGCAAATGGCAAAGTAAAAGCCCAATATTCTATTTTTAGATTTTAGATTATTTAGGATTGCATATTTTGTGGAGCAGATCAATTACTCTTGCCAAAGCACTAAGCTATCATCTCTACTTGAAGTATGATGATTATGGTCCTGTTAAATTCCATAACTTGCTGAAACAAACTCGTGATAAGTAACTTAGGTAATTCTCCTATCAGCACAAAAACCTAATCCTCGAATCTAAAGATTCATAAGAATTCATAAAAATAAATATATCCTCAACAGATTGAATATAATATCAAGGTTAGTGGAAGAGTTAGTTGCTATGTCTTTTAGTATGTGAGGATGTCCATTTTGTTCATGTCTGTGTTCATGTTCCTACTTAAGCCTTTTATTTCGCTATTTACAGGTCTCTCACGATAATTTTTTCATAGCTGATGTTTCCTTCAACGTAGCTTCTTCTTTCCGCTTATTGGTCGGGTTACTTATATTTATTATAGAAGTTAGTGATAGAATAAAGGTTTGCAATGTATTAACTAATAATTGGAGAAATTAAAAGCAATACTATTTGACAAGCCATCTCATGAAGTGAGGAGCCAATGTCCTACTCAAGATGAATAGTATATACTTTCACGAAAAGAACATGGGAATATAATTGGTAAGAGTATATATATGATGGTTATCCAATAAGCTCCTGCTAATTTCTGGTGTGATCCATCCAATCAGAATAATTAAAAAACCGGAAAATTATTAACCAATCAGACCACATTGGGATTGATATAGAAGTTCACAGAATATACATAGCCAAGTGATAGAAAGATAGCTAGTTTATTGATAATGCGTTATTCTATATCTAGGTCATTACATAATTTATTTGGGGAATGTACAACTCAATACTCAATCATGTTCTATGCATCACATTAAGAGCAAAGCTCATATCAAGGCATAAAAAAATTGACATATAAACTTTTTTATCCCAATACAAGACACACCACATGAAAATATTGATATAATATATAATATTCTTAACTCGAATTCTTTATTAGCAAAGCCATGACCGATATAATAAAAATACATGTTAATTTATACAATATCTTCATACTTACCTATTATTGGGTGGAAACTTAATGGTAGAGAGGTCCACTATCTTTTTTAATATCCAGATTGATGAGATCTTGTTATAGTGATCGTGGCATTACTAACTCACCATCATAAAGGGACACATCTTCTCGAGCTTGTGATGAATAAAAAGCTATATTATATAAGAATGCATTGACTTTTTCTACAATCTTAGTAAGAGTGTGAATATGGTTTCATAGAAACACTTACAAATAATTCTATTAATTAACCAGGAGTTTGTTTATCCAACTTCTCGTATTCTATAAAAAGATGATAATCTTACTCTTAACTTCTATAATTCATCCATAAATCTGGCAAGTAAAGATTGGTGTCAATTTATAGGAATTTGTACTAAACCAAGACATTGAATAAAATAAAAGGCTCCAAATGGTATAGTTATAACCCAACATGCCATGGTTCCACCTAAAGTAGAAATGGTTAGTTTTGAGTGAAAAAAAATATAATTGTAATATTACATACCAGCAACTTGGATATCAAAAACTGGTACCCTGTTAAGATCTTTTTCTATTTCCTTTATGTCCCCAACCCTCCCTCTAGTGAGTTTCCTCAGTAATCACACATGAATATCTTTCATAAGCTTGATTAACTTATCCTAATCATCATGGATCTTTTTATCAGTTGGAAGAATACGTGAGGCCTCCATAAGACAGATTTCCACTTCATCAGTAATCAGTGGAGATTTCACATGAAAATTGGGCTTGTGTCCAATTCTGATTTCTCCAGAATCATCTATCCAACATTGAGATGCCTTCGAGACTTCTTCAGTCCTGTTATGATGTATGTAAAACTTGTTATAGTCATTATGTGATCACCTCTGGTAAAAATTCATTATCTAAAACTTTATCAAATGATTTTAAGTTTGATATTTTCATAGCAAAATAGTGGATCAAGAAAGTTAGACACTATGTGGACGATATATGTTCCCTCAGTGTATTCAGCCTTGTTTTCATCATTAAAGTAGCACCAGATATGTTGGCTATAAGAATAAGAATATTAGAAATTGGTTAATTATCAAGACAGAGAAGCTCAATTACCTACACTGAGTCTATGATCCTATTCATCACACATATGTCTTCAAATTCCTCATCATTTTCTTGGAAATCTACTGGTATAGGTGAAAGTGAAACCATCATTTCCCTTTTATTCAAGCTCTTTGATTTTTCTAAAAGGACTTTAATCAAGTCAGAAATAACGAGGCTTATTTCATATTGATCATATGCCAAATTTATAATTTCTCTCAAATTCTTCTTTTGTTCTTCTGGCAATTTTCCAAAAATTATGTCTGAGTTTCGATCAACAATACAACCAAAGCTGAGTGGATCATTTCATTCAATATTGCTGGTATCGAAGGATTTAAAGAGGTTCCTCAACTCATATAATAGCAATGAACGAGATATCTCATTTTGAATTAAATCATTCTACAGAAGTATCGAGTAAGAACAAGTAAAAAAAATATAACTCTCATAATATGAATGCGTTACTAATCGTTTTCCAATTTTTTTCTTGTTCAAAAAAACAAGATTCTCTTCTATTAGGCTTACAAATTTAAGAGAAATCTGAAACGTATAAAATATGTTAGTGTCAGTAATAAGTTTTTCTAAAGCAAAATTATAGTAGTTCAGTCAACCATTGATTCCATAGCCTCTATTGTTAATATATATTACGTTCTTTGCTTGTTCTATAAAAATAAAGGAGTCAATATATGAAAATTCTATATTCTACTTATTATTCAACGCTCTTATTTAATCAGATTTCTGATTTCTTCATACACCATGAATAACTATCAGGACCCAAATCTCAGGTATGAGAAGATGGTGAGAAATTGATTCTCAGAATAGATAGAATGTCATCATATGAAAATACTATAGATAGGATAAAAAACAATACATATATCAGAAACCTTGGAAAATTCTTCATAAACATCTCGTAGAATACTACTAGATTTGGTGGAATGATATAAAGCTTTCTCACAAGCCAGCTTATATATTTGAAATGTATCACTCATAAAACTATATTGCCTGCTATTTGCATTAATTGTATAACTGAATCATGAAGCGAAGTGTACTTTTCTGACTTTGTCACAATTATTCTCCAAATACTTAACACTGAAATCCTTCCAACTGAGATATTTATAATCCTGTTCTATTTCTGTACAAAGTTTAGCAAATATGAAATTGGGATAAAAACAATTATAAATGAAGACAAAACTATACTCTCTTTCTAAAAGAATCTGCATTTTTTCTTTCTGAAAGTATTCTTTACAAAGAAAATATTCAAATCTGGTTTTTTGTGTTAGTCAGAAGGTCATACAATTATATCATGCATGCAGAAGTTCCATGATCTTCTAATTTATTCTGTGATAAATGTATTACAAAGTAATGGCAATTAATTTCAGGTATGTGATTTTATAGTATAATCGATTTTTTATTAGACATATCAACAAAAAGTGCTAAAATTTTATTACTTGTTTAAATGAAATTCTGCATAGCAGGATGAAATCTAACTCCCCTCCTCATTTATAGGTTTTACTTGAGATGGCTAACTATCTCTAACATCAGGTATACTAAGATCACTATCACTCCGTGATGTAGATGTATTAAGTTTTGAGATCATATTTGCTAACTCAGATGACGATGAGTATGTTGCATTATTTAAATTTCCACTTAAATTCTCACTCACATTATTTGTGTTATTGCTTGAATTTTTACCCGTATTATTTGTTTTATTCACATTATTTCGATTAGTAGTTTCGTCTCTTCTGCTAGGAGTTCTTCGGTCTGGAGATGCTGATCGGTCTCTTTGACCAGTAGGAGATTCACGGTAACTCCTATTCAGCATTGATAAAACTTCATCAATAGTTGGTGCTGGTATTATATTTCTCATATTTCTATTTCATCTACAGTTTAAGGTATTGATAGTATAGATTCTATCAAATTCATCTTCAGGCCTCTCTCAGAAATGTGTACAAAACTCATCAAAGTATTGTGCACCTAATCAATTTCTCTGTGCTCCACGTCTACCTGACATATATTCACATATTGCCTAGAAATCCTAAATTTTGTTAATAGCAAGTTAGATAAAAAATATTACTTTATGACTCGTAGAGTCACCCCTAAAGAGCCTGTGTGAACTTACATTATAACTCCAAACAAGATTCGAAAATTTTTCTTTATAATGATAACCAGTAAAATTAGTCTTATATTTTTGATTGATTTTATTTGCAATACTATACCAAAATACATTTCAATTTCTTCCAAGGTTATGATACTCTATATTTCTATTTCTTTATTCTTCGATTAGAGTATCTATATACGTATCTATTCATTCTACCATTTTTAACCAGAGTTCTACCAGAGTTCTACTAGAGTTTAACCTGTGTTCAATCCATATTTAACCCGTATTTATATTTTATTATATATTCATTATGAGAATGTATAACCAGACTTTAACCAGAGTTCATACCATTTTTTACTTATTTTGTATCGCTCAAAAAATTATTATAACTAAACTTGAATTGGTACTATGTTCAAAATTTTGTATAATTAGATGTGATAGCATTCTCGCTAAATTCGTATGCCTCAGATTTGCATATCTTGGATTTGTCTATCTCGAACCAGATGATCTCAAATGATGAATGTCATACATCCTTATCACTGGAAAATTAAATCATATGCTTGTATTACACCCAAAATAGATTATGCAACAATTATCTCAAATGTAGATCTACATATCTGAAATAGATTTTTATTTACGAAGGTATTTCATATGCTCAATGAGTAATTGGGTATATATACATGAATGATTTATACATAAATATCTACACAAATAAATTCTTACTAAATCGCATTCTCATCATATCACTCACAAAATATGACGAATATACATAATTCATCTAATAACCCAATTTATACTAAAAATAAATCCAGTTTTAACTATCAATATAAAACTAAATCTAATAGGTCCAATTATCCCTAAATATAATATAATCACATAATCTCTAAAAACTCTATAAATCACTTAATCATTAAATATGGTCTATATGGATAAATGTCCAGTTTTAAGTAATATTGAATGGAGAGATAACTGTCAATTTCTAGTAATTCGTAAAGGTGAAACTCCATCTGATTGGATGAAATGAATTTGGAATCAGTTGATGAATTATAAGAATAATAATCATTTAACTGATGATAAAAAGTGATATCTTATTGCCAGAAAAATGAAATATCTATAGGAAGATGATCTTGGTCATGCTGTAGGTGTAAGTATAGCAATATGTCATTCATATAATAATCTCATTTATTCTAGAATCGGAAGTGATTATGAGTGTGGATTTCATCATTTCATGGATAAATATTGGAGTACAAATTGTACAGGAAATGCATATTGTAATATTAGTTATAAAGACTATATGGAACTTAAAAGTAGATCAGAAGCTAATAACTTCTACTTCGAAAAAGAAGTAATTTATCATTATGAATTATGGATGTAGAATACTATTAGAAGAGTTAAACGTACAAGAGAAATCAGTATAAAAATCAGAGCTGTAAATATCATATCACAGAAATAGCTTGAATACATATATCATCCTGATAACCTTTGTGCTTCAGAATTAGTATTATATTACCAATTATTATAGATGATTTGAGAAGAAATACGCTAAGTTAACAATGTATAGACACATCTATTTTATGATGATTAGGCACTATGTACCTATGAAGTAATAGCTATTTTTTTATTGATTTCTATCGATATATATTTCATAATTTTTTGCGTGCAAACTAATAATTAATGTTTCATCCTGATTACAACTCTATTATAGCGAAACTTCCAAAAAGTCTGGTCAAAAGAGCATATCATAGGCTTTTATATCACTCTAGATCTTCCGTTATATTAGAGCAAATTTCTGAAAAGTGTGATTGAATTGAAAATTATTTGCACTATACATTAGAGGTATATGAGAAAGGATTAAATAAGAAGCATAAAAAATAAATCCAAATTATTGAACTACTTGAAAATTTATCATATGGTACCATAGGTATCGTCAAGACATATATAAACATGATTAACCAAGAATCCCAAACCCAAGATACTAATAGCTGTAAATGTAATCAGACATATAGGTATTCTTGCTTTACATGTGAGGATGAGATTAATTACCAGATTAAGAAAGAGGTCAATATTTTATGTCAGCAATTATTGGAATATAATGAAAAAACCTTTGATAAATTTATGTGAGAAATTATTATAAAGCACGAGGATCAGATTAAAACCAATAGGAAATTACGATGTGAGGTTGTAGAAAAGAAGATAGAATTGCAAGAGGTATAAAAATTTCTAAAATATCTGAAATCACATTCTATTCATTAGAAAGATCAAGAGATTGGTCCCATCCTTTACGAATATAGAACAGATCCTCTTTCACTCTAGTTAAGTTAATAATAATAAATTCCCTATCTTGCAAATTTTTATTAAGTATATCAACAACATCACGCCATTTTTTTGTATATCATTAGGTAATGTTAACAAGTTTATCATATGTCCCACTACCATTAAAGAGAACAATATAATCGAGATTTTTTCTTATTAGTTTAGGATAGTTAAAAAAGCTTTGTGTCATATATATTGAACTGATATTTTTATGCTTTCTCTCAGTAAAATAATATGCTATTTTATCTTGTATTTTTTTAGGTTCTGTACATACATCTTTGAATATAGCTACTATTCCTCTCTCAGGAAAAAAGTCATCAACTTTTGGCATTTTATCAGGTTTCATTGCTCGGAATGTAACATCTTCATGATATTATTTAGGACTATTTGCAATTATTTTATAATAATCTCGGAGATGTTTATACTTGGGCTCATTAATTTAATGACTAATCAAAACCAAATCATCATTTTTAATATATCTCGTTCCACCTTTTTTCCTACTAAATAATCGATACATTTTATTTCCAAGTAAAAGGTTGATAACTTCATTAGTTTTTCCTGATCTTGTTCATCCACTGACTAATAAATTGAATGGCCATTAAGGTGTACTATTAAGGCCATTAAATCTCTCTATATTTTTGTATTTATCAATATTCAAAACCATCCTCTCAACAGGATCGAGCTTTTCTATTTTCATTCTGATTGGATAAGTCACTAATTATTATATCCGAAAAATATTAATCGAACCAGATAAATATTTAGAGTTTTACCTTTATTCACATCTAAGATGAGCACTTAGAGATTTAATTTTTATCCTGTAAATAACCTTTCTCAATTAAAATATTTTGGATAAATTCATATAAATCAGCAGAATACAGAATTTCAATGAGATCTATATCTTGCTCTTTGCATATATTCCACTTTTTTTGATCATGATTCCATTATGCACCTAGGTCAGCCTCGCTATTGGGATGAAAGTATTTTGGAACTACACAAAAATATTGGATACCATGGAATTCAAATGTCAATTTTAATTCTTTGTTATACCCATCTAATTGCATCCTATTCAAAAATGACAGTTTACAAGATGGAAATTTCTTATCCAACAGGTCCTCAAAAATATATCAGCATCTACATTCTTCTTTAAAATGAGGACAAATAGGACACCATTCAAATTTCTTAGCAATTAGTGGAAATGGATATTCGAATTGATGTTTACCATTCTGACATGACCAAAGATATACATTCTGATCATTAATTCGACCAGTTTTAGCTAAAATACTTCCATCATGTTTCTTGACATATTGTTAGATCCTGTTAAATTCACTACTAGAAACATGAATGAAATGTATCAATCCAGAAGGATAATATTTTCATATAAAATTATCAGGTGAATATTCAACTTTTTCAGGATTTTCTATTACTTAGGGTTCTTCTCACTTGAATGGTCGATGTAAATTACATCTCATCAAATGAGCAGTAGATTCAATAGGCTCATCTTCAAGATAGTATAAGACTGGCTGTGGTGGATTTCTTCCAATAATAACCTTTTTAATATGATAAATACACAATAAAAAGTATGGATTAGTTTTCCTATAAACGTGTCCTTCTTCCAACTCACCCAGTTTTAATAAATATCTTACTGTCATTCCTTTTTGTAATCACAGTTCATCTTTACCAATAGGTCTTTTAGGTTTGATAGTTACTTTGAGAATCACTTCTCGTAACGTCATAGTATTGTCAGGGCTCATACCGATTAATCACATTTTATTATTATTCATATAGTTGATAATTTTCTGAAGTATTTTTTTCCATAATTTTGAGCATTCATCTTCTTTGAGTTTTTCTTCTATAGCATATTGAATTTTATATATAAGTTTTGCCAAATCTTGTTTGAATTTTTTTACTAATGCTAAGCTTTCAAAACTATAAAGATCTACAACTCTTATAGAAATATTATAACATTCCATCTCTTGAGAGAATGCTTCTTTGAACTCCCCAGCATCATCTACCATCAACAATGCTAGCTATGTGAGAGGATTTTTAAGATCATTATATATCTTTTCGATCATATTCCAAACTTCTAAACTATTCTTTGATGTCAACGCTACTGCACATTTAAATCTTGTCATCACATCTATAAGCATCAAGATATGTAAATACACTTTTCTCCTTTTCTGATCATTATAAATATGAGATAATAGATCATATTGATGTAATTTATTAGGAATTCAACATTTAGAAAAGCTAGCCTGAGCCTTAATCTTTGGTGGATGATGATATATTTGGTAATCATACTGATTTTCTAACCACTTTATTATATCTTTGAGTAGAAAATGACCATACTCTTCTTTTTTACACGTCTTTTGTAGAGCTTTCACATTCAGATAAAATCCGGAAATATTATAATAGAGTGCATGACAAACTATAGCTACCTTAGTATATGGATCTATATA